AATGGCAGTAAGACACTCTGTGCAAAGCTCATCAGAGTGAGTTTGTTTGCTTATCCCCATCACATATTGTAGGAGTCTAGGAGAGCTGGCTGTACTTTAAGGAGGCCCTTTTAAGGGCACAGCAGCAAACTATCCTAATGCAACAGGTGAAAGAGAAGTGCAACAGGAGACTAGCCTTGTTAGACGGCAATCTCTTCACTGAAACTCAAAAAGGAATCCTATAAAAAGCAAAAACATGGTCCACTTTTCTCTAGTATGTTTTCTATAAAAAGTAGAAACATACTAGAGAAAAGTATAAGAGTATTGCATGGACATGCAGTGAGATGATTAGGAAGACCAAGGCATAATTTGTGATGCAACTGTCAAGAGACATCAAAAGGCAAAAAAGGGACTTTATAAGTATGACAAGAGTAAGAAGAAAACCAAAGGAACCATAGGTCACTTATGGAATCAAACCAAAGGTAATCTAGTTATGCATGATGCAGAGAAGCTTGAAGTACTTAATGCTTTTTTTACTTCGGTCTTCACAAAAAGGCACCAGATGATGGGAGCAGTTGGCAGCAAAAATAGGAACAGTCAAAACAACCTATAGAAAATGGGAGAACAGGTTAGGAATTACTTAGAGAACCTAGATGCTTTCAAGTTGGCAGGGCTGAATGAGATGCATCTGAGGGCCATGAAAGAATTGGTTGAGGTAATTTCAAAGTCATTAGCTATCTTCTTTGAGAATCTATGGAGTCTGGGTGAGATCCCAGATGATTGAAAAAGGACATAGTACCCATCTTTAAGAAAGGGAAAGAGGATCCAGAGAATTATAAGCTAGCCATTCTAATCTTGATACCTGGAAAAATCATAGAGCAGGTTCTGAAGGACTACACTGTGAAGCATGTAGAGAACAAGGTGATCAGGAATACCCAGGAAGCATACAGCAATAGAAAGTCTTACCTGACCAACCTGATCTCCTTCTATTATGGCATGACAGGCCCTCTGAATGGGGGGTGGGGAGGAGCGGTGGAAATGATATACTTTTGACTTTAGCAAGGCTTTAGACATCGTCTCCCATAGATTCTCATTAACAAGCTAAGGCAAGGGTGCTCAAACTTGACTTAAGGGCCAGATCCAGCCCATGGAGCCATTTCATCCTGCCTGCCAAGCATCCAGAAATTTGGCAATGGGGGAGCAGTGGCAGCATTAATTGCTTCTCCCCTGCTGCAAATTTCTGGACCTGTAGGGAGCCCTGTAGGCTAGATAGCATGGCCCTACAAGCGATTGCACCAGTATGTAGCTGGATCCAGAAATCAATTAAATGAAAATTCAGCAAGGATAAGGGCAAAGTCCTGCACCTGTTATGGAATAATTGCACCCACAAATACAGACTGGGGAATGATTGGCTAGGCTGCAGTACTGCAGAGAAGGACCTAAAGGTTACAATAGATCACGAGCTGAATACGAGCCAAAAAGTGTGCTCTTCTCGCAAAAAAAAGCCAACAGCATACTGGGTTGTATTAACAGGAGTGTCACTTGCAAATCAAGGGAAGTGATTCTTCCACTCTTCAGCACTAGTGAGGCTTCACTTGGAACACTGTGTCCAGTTCTGGGCCTCAAACTTCAAGATGCAAATAAATTGGAAGAGTCCAGCACAGAACAACAAAAATGATTAGAGGTCTGGGAACCATGATTTACAAAGAAAGACTGGAAGAGCTAGGGCTATTTAGTTCGGAGAAGAGAAGACTGACATGGGATTTGATACCAGCCTTCTAGTAGATAAAAGGTGATTACAGAGAGGATGGAGTTGGGCTTTTTGTCATGGTCATGTAGAACAGGACTAGAAGCAAAGGACTCTAGCTTTAGCAGGCCAGGGGGCGTCCTGCATCAGGGAGTAGCTCCCTGATCCCACGCTTCACATATGCCAGCAAGTTTAAAGGTGCACTGGGCAGCCAGCACTGGATAGTATAGCACTGGGGACCTTTAAAGGTCTGGGAGAACAGGGAGCCTGGCACTGGGTACCCACTCCCCAATCCTGGGCTCCCTATGTGCTGTTAGACATGCAATGGGATCTAAGCAAGTTTATTCTGAAGTCATGTATTTAAAATATCTTCTGCCAAGGGCCTGTGAAATGCAGAGCAGCGACGGTCAGACAAGAGCAATACAGTGCACTTGTTTGGTTTTGTGATAGTATTGCCTTTTCCACTTTCTTGTAAGACTTGTTTTATCTTTATTAAGCTATCAAAAGGCAGGGAAAAAGCAAACTAGGGGTTGGTTAGCAGGTACATAGAAATACCAGTCAATATTTCAGGTAGTACATCAGAACAAGTAAATGCAAGAAAAAGTACAAAGTGTCATCATGTGGCTCTAAGCCAAACACAGAATTCAAACACATCCCAGTTTTGCAATACCCAGCACTTGCACTGCAAGAAATAAAAGCATTAAATATTACAAATTTCAGTGAGAAAATTACAAGTAAGTTTGGTAGCTTGATACATACAAAATATCAAAGTGACCAATTTAAAGCAGGCTACTTCACAGTACAAGGCCAAAAAAAGTTCTATAAATTTTTATCACTTACTAGGATTACTTCCTATAGCATGCAAGGCCCAGATAGTTACATATATTTCAGCATGCTAACGATAAGGCTTTAATTCTCTTTAACTGCATCAGTTGATTCTATTTGCTACCTTGCAAGAAAACTAATTTGCTCTTTTCTTCTTCTGCAACGAGATCCTCAAATAACTCTGAAGAGCCAAATCCCGTTCTGATATCCACTTCTTTCACAGACAGGAAGTGGACCCTTCAAACCAAAAATGACCTTTTTTCAGAGTGGCTGCTCTACAAACTAGATTTCTTGGTTAGCTGGACTCATGAAGTTCAGTTCTGTTGCCTGAAATGTTGTACTTGACCTCAGATATAACATTCAAAACTGGTTTTATCTGCGCTTATAAATAGATGCAATTACCTTTTATTTCTTGAGACAGAGTAGCATTGAAGCCAGGTCTGCACCAGGTTAGCTTTGCTAGGATAGCCATACCAACAAGCCATCCTATGGAGATGCAATTTATGCTAGCAAGAATGTTTTTGCTGAGATGGTTATTCCAACTTTCAGAAAGTAAAACAAGCTCCAGTATCAAAATACTTTTCTGACAGTATAGGCTGGGCTGGCTCTTGAATTTTTGCTGTTATAGAGATGTTGGCAGGAGCAGGGGTAAAGGGGAAGGGAAACAAAGCCTTCCACAGCTAGCTAAATTAAGTATATTGACAAAGCCTGTGTGCAGGTTTGCCCAGAGTGCCCCAAAATTCTCCTTGTACCCCAGGAGTCCTTCCTTGTAAGCTGCTCCTCTTCCCTTTCCAGGCCCAACTCATCATGAAGAGGGCTACATGATGCTTCCCATGCCAAGACAACCACATGCAGCCACAGAGCCTTTTCTGGAAGAACAATCTGTTTCTTGCAGGGGAGGAGGGGGGAGGAATCCTGGGAAGCTGCCCTTATGACTGCGCTGGGTAAAACCTGGGCTCCCCCGCCAAGTTTGCTCCCAGGACCTGTTGTGCTAAGAAGCAGATGTTTTGAGAATTAGAATAAGGACCTTTTGCTCCTTCTCAATTTATAATGACCACATCCAAACAATAAAGTCCATCCTGGCCACTTCTTGCAGAAAGGATGGCACCAAAGGAAGGGGGGTTAAGGGCTTTTGCACCACTGGTAAGACCCACATTTGAAATAGTTGGAGCCCAAGCATAGATAAGTCACCTGTGGCTACCAGCATTTAGCATCCTATCCATCTGCTCTAACAAGGTTCGAGTTGAACACAAATGGTGGTCCCTTGTCTTGATTAAGACCTTTAAGACAACCTTGACATTACAGGGCCACTGCAGTAAAGGATAAAGCAGGGGAGTCAAGCATGGGCAGGATTTGGCCTGCAAAACCATTCCAGATGGCCCACTTGTAGTCTGGTGAGCTACCAGAAATTTGAGGCACAGCCTACCACAGAATCCCAAGTCCCTGGGCCTCAATAGTCATGTCCATCACTGACAAAGGGGAAAGTGAGGCCTATGCAGATACAGTCCTTGCTTGCCCTGCTGTTACCCAAACCCTGATGTTCGCTGCTGACCCAGGACCAGACCCACTACAGCTACTTCTGGCTCCATGGATCCAGCTTAGGAGGAGCCCCCATGACCCAGACCTGGCCCAGGACCCAGGATGAGTTTGACCTAACTACCACAAAGGAAAGTCTTCAAACATGCAACTCTTCGGCTCCAACACAGATGTTAAGCACTGCACCAAATGTAGAACTGAGGCAGGAAAAGCCCCAAACAACAGAGCACCCAGCTTGGCTATACTTTTGTGATCCTAAAACTAAGGAAAATGGCTAACTAGCTAAATACCTAAATCCACTGTTAACATAAAGCTTGCAACCATTCTAAGGAGGCAAGTGAAAAAGCCTGTATGTATCAAGAATTACAGCCCCAAGGAGAGAATGATTCCTCACACATGCCAATTTTTGCTACATGTGGAAGATTTCTCTTCAAGTTAGAAAATTCCATGGGACAGTCTTGGAGGTGCTGGAGCACTCTGAAACCCACGGTGAAAGGGATACGCTCCCAGGGCATGGCTAGGCTGCTTGGTTTGGAACACTGAGACAGCTATTTTTGCCCTATCCCTCAAACAAAGATTGGAAAGTTGCCCCTTTGTCAAGATGGAGGAGTTCACTTCTTTCACAAAGGGAAGACGTCTTTGAGGCACGGGGATATTTTGATACCTGTTAGATCTCTGAATAAGAGGGTGGTCTGCAATTCTTACTTTTGAGCCAGGAAAAAGGTCTTTGCCAATATTATTGCTTTGTTCCTCCACCTCCACCCCCACCCCCAACCAGATTTTAGTGTGAATGCAAAGAACTTTTCTCTGTCAGGGCAGTATATAATCTTTCCCTACCTCCATTCTTCTGAAAGCAGATATCCAATTCATAGCACCTAATCCAAGGAGCATCTTAAAAAAAACAAAACAAAAAACCAAAAACCCCTCTCTTTTATTTGTGGAACTATTTCAAACATCCCACAAATCCTTTGGGAGAAGATTTCAGTAGTTTTTAAACTGAAGTCCCATAATTAACACAACAGGCTATGTGATGCACAGAGGAAGGTTATATTGAATTGAACCATTGGTGCAGAGAGTCAAAAACTTCACCTCCTTTTCGTTCCCCCATAGCCTGGAAAACAAATAGAAAAAAAAGTCTTAAATAGTCTTGGTTCTGAAAGTAGCTTTCCATTTTTTACACACTGGTAACACAGCCTGGCTAAGCACATTCATAGATGAGTGTAATAACGCACTGACATGGGAAAGACTTCTACCTAGGAAAATCAGACTGACTGTTTTTTGGGAAGCGTTTAGTGAGCACACATCATTATCAAGAGAGGTGTAAGCCCTAACAAAGACAAATGAACTTTGGGGACTGTTGCGATGTGTACAGTGAAGACAGCCTCATGCTCCCTGTTGGCCTAAGGAGAAGCTCTAGACTCAAGCAGACTGTCTACCTTCCAGGGCAGGGATCATCTCTTGAGCACAAGCATAAAACAGATCTCAGGCCTTTGGGTACTAGTTTAATATGTTTCTTAATAAATCATCTCTTGGCCTTGCCCTGATCAGTGGGTAATAACCCAGAAAATAGTTTTAGCAACAGTCAATGCCAAGTCCCAATCAAGGAGGTTTACAAGAAAGACCTGCAGTGGTCTGGAATGGAAAAGCTTTTCTACAAAGGAGGTGACGGACCTGGCTACATCTTGACTCTCCTTTTCAAAAATAGAATTATAACTTTGGTTATGAAATGCTGAAAACATCCGACCTATGCTACAAACTGATACCATGTTGTAACTAGCCCAAATTTATTGTGCAGATGGGGCTCTAAAAAGGAAAAATTACTGTTCTGCAGACCAGAACATTAGGTAGTCCTGCAGAGCCTTGTTTTACACAATACAAAGGTTGGATAGGAGGGTGTGAATAAAGAAAGGAGTCAAAAACTGACTTCTTTGGACAGTATAGAGTTCAGCAGCTTCATGCACTGATCACCATCTAATGTCTATAGTGAGTGAGTGAAAAAGGAACAGTATATATTCACTTAATCATCACAGTCACACAAAGAGCAGAGCAAGAATTACACAAAAATGCAGGTAAACTCTGATGACTACTATAGTAGAAGTTCATTAATCTAAAGCCCAATGAAAGCCCACTAAGTCTTCCCATTGATTTAGGTGGGCTTTAGGTCAGCCCCCAATCTCTTGAGCAGCAGAAAGACAAAAAACCTGAAGAAAATACTTACCAGATGCAGTTCTTGTCCCTGAACTACCAGGCTGTGTGGAGTTGCATGAATTCCCCCACGTGGGAGTTGCAGCTGTGGGACCAGTCCATGAACTGAAATGTGGAAAATATGAGCGTGACTGTCCTCTGCCAAAAAAAACACAGGGTAGGAGTTAATTATTTTTTTGAGAGAGGGGTCATTGTTTATGCAGCAAAGTCTCTTTAAAAATAAAAAGTTGATTGGGAAGGTGCAAATACACACATTTTATCATTTTAAAGCCAGAAAGCTTAGAAAGATTCAAAGAAGAATATTGTCTATTAAATTCTGTGAAAATAAATGTTATCCGTGAGAATTCTATATATTTTTTTAATCACAATCACAAAAAATGTACAAACTACATGCTTCTGGATTTAAGCCAAATCTTTAAGTCCTGCAAGGGCAAGTTCTCTCTTTTTGAAATATCTTTTTTTTGTGCACCGTCAGAGATGGAAGACTGAACTAGAGACATCACCATCTGGTTCTCTTCAGGCTTTTTCTGTATTATGCAATGCATCTTCAAGCCAATTTCAGAAAGTGTGACTGACTGCAATACAGTTGTTATGTGAATTTTATTTAGTGTTTCTGAACTTTTGACCCATCTCAGTTCAATTTACTCTTTATTTATTTGCAGGAAATGTGTACTTTTTGCAAATTCATCACTTGTTAAGTTATACTTGCCACAGGTTTCTTCTTACTTGCTAAGATATACAGAAAAGGTGGCATTGGAACCAAGTTACCAGGGCATTTGCGGACATCAGCATTCTTGAGCCATGGTTTCAAAAGCCAAAAATCAATTTTAGGCTAAAATTTTCAAATACAGGAAGCTAAAGTCTGTAAGTCCTCATTTAAGATCAGTCTAAATGTTCCAACATTCTGAGCATCCAAGTCCCACTGAGGTGAACCATACACCGAGCAAATTGTTTATAGAACCTATTTAAATCAATTTAAGGTGGTACTGAACTAAAAAAAGCTTTAAAAAAAATTGTGAGAGTCTACTGAAGTTGCAACTGTGTGCAGATTTTACAGTGTGGCTGATGCATAGTCCTGCAAACTCAAATTCAGAAGCAACATGGCCATTTTATGGCCCTGAAAATTACAAATCAGAAGGAAAGAGTGGTGTAGGGAGACTGGGGTTATCAGCGCTGTGCTTACCTCCGACTGCCAGCCAAGTACCCCAGTAGGCCGCCTGTTCCTAATCCAGTCCAAAACCCTGCTCCTGAGTTGGCATGATAACCGGAACCACCACCTAAGCCACCAGCTCCTTAATTCAAATAGCAAATGAAAAACACATCAGCTTTCAAGTCAGCAGCACTTCACCTTTGAAGAAGCCCACAGATTACTGAATGATTCTCACAGAGGAAGAATTACAGACCTGGTTCCTGATGATATCAGCAAGATCAAACCTTATTTGAAGGTCTTTGGGCAGGTGTTCCTGCTTTGGAAAGAGACTGCATAAAAAAACAGCATCTAATGTTTGTTGATGTTGCTATTATTGAGGTAGAGGCTACAGAAGTTATGATTTTTCTGCCTCATTGTCCAAGGCAGCTATAGAAGAATGCAACAAAAGAAAATGCCCTTCCCAAAGATCTTTCAGTCAAAACAGGGAAGACAGAGAAAGGGCAGAAAGAGAATAGACTTCCCAAGGTCACACAGAGGTCAGTGGTAGAGCCAAACAAAAAAACCCAAGAAAAATCCCAACTCAGTGACCATGCCAGTAAGGCCTACTGCCGGGAGCCATCAGGTGATGTCCTGCCCTGGAGTCACAGGGGATTCTCAGCAGTATTTGCTCACTTTAACAACCACTCCTGTTAGTTTTATTTCAGTGAGGGCTATCAACAGAATTGTTAAATAAGATTAGATTGTAGAGTCTTATGCATGACTCATCTTACTTGACCTAAATTCTTCACTGAAACTGTAGTGTTATTAAGAAAGCTATTTTTCAAAGAGTGTCTTACATTCAAAAGTTCATCTAACTTCATCTGAACTACAATAAAAGGTATCACTCTAAGAAATCCTTTCCTCTGGCATAATTTCTTGACCATCACAGCTACAACATCATTCTTACATTATCATTCAGGAAAGCACTATTTTAAAATCTGAACAGAGTACTTTTGATCTGGACTTAGAGATAATATGCAATAAAAACATTATAATGAGGTCCCAAAGTCACATTTCAGAGTAGAATTGCTCTTTAAAATACCTGGACTCTGGATCATGTAGTTCAAACTTGAAGAAGAGAGAGATATGAAAGCAAGAACACAAACTTGAACTCTAAAGACATTTTACAGTCCCTAAAATAGACAGCGATTGGGGTTGGAGTCCCCAGCTCACCTTACATGTGCCAAATCTAAACTAACCTGGCTGAAACTTTACATGCAGAACATTATATCATGGTAGGAAGCATTTTTGAAAGCATGGGGAAATTAGCCAAAGCATCTGAGGGCAACAAAGTGCTTCAAGAATAACATCTTTGAACTGGCATCTGGAAAGGTAAACATTCAATACACTGTTGAAGTTCCTTACCCTGCACAGTCAGATATTCAAGAATTTCCACTCCTACAGACCGGGGGTAAGTTCAGAATGCTAAATGCATTACAAGCTTGGTTAAGAGTGAGGCAAAGTATTAGCGAGTTAGTGTGACTCCAAAAAGTTACTCTTCTGTCCTCCCCCGATATTTACAAAAGCCTGGGAAGAAGAGCTATGTTCTGTAATGATACTATGAAAACAGAGTATAAGCCTCCCCCAAAATATACAGCCTGCCCCACATAACCAAACCTGCTCTTGACCAAGTGAACAAGGACAGTCCCATCCTACAGGGACTGGTGCAGAAAGTATGAAGAATGTAAAAAAATATAAGAGGAGGTTTTCAAAGACACAAAAGGCATATAGTACAGTTTCCCTAAGTCAGTGGGTGTTAAGTATCAAGATCCCATTCAGACTTTCCAAAATCTCATCCTGAAGAGTACAGTGGAAGTTGGTTGTAACCTAGCAATGGTGACAGCATTTTGTTTTTCAGTCAACTCCCACCCCTTTTTATGCAGTCCCCCCATTGATTTTTAATACCAGAGCTGGCTTAGGACCACACCTGTGAAACTGGACTTAAAACCAGGAGGAGGCGGGGCCTGGTAATTCTGTCCAGAAGGCCTAGAGTATCCATCGCCATCAGAGAAATCTTGTTGAGGCTGTGGGTTATTGAGGAACAGCTTGTAGACTCCATAAGCAAGGACCAGTAGTACTATTATTATAATCATTCCAGTACTAGAATCAGAGGAATCCCCAGGCTTAACTTTACTCGAGTGATAATAGCTGGAACTAGAGCTTCCACCAAAGTTCTTTGTTTTCTTTTCACCTTCTTCTGTTAGCTCTAACCTGTACTCCAAACCACAGGATCCCTTTAAGATGTAGGGGTCATCTGGATAATCATAGCCTTCACAGCTCACTTCAGTTCTTCCAAACCGATAAGAAATGTCCAAGTCTGCCTTACACTCCCACTAAAAGAAGCAAGATAAAACCCAAAATAGTAATCATTTCCTGGATGAAAGCAGCTCTTTGTTTGCTTTCCTATATATGTAGCAAGATAAAATTAAGTAGCAATAAAGAGCCAGTAAGCTAAGACACCCAAACATTAGTACCTGAAATTTAGTTACTCAGTTTTACAAACCTTAAACCCAGTGGCTACTGAACATATAAAGAGTAAAGTAGTTTTAACTCTAAAATAATTTATGTAGTAGGTTTTTCCCCAAACATTCAATGGTTAGAAATGTTTTAGCAAAATTGTCAGGTGATACAAAACAGCTGTTATGTTTTTCACCTGAAAGATCTGAAACTTATGACTCATTTTCAGAAGAAGTTGCATTCTCACCTCCTGGTGCTCGCACGCCAGGCTGCAGCTCTACCCCACCAGTGTGGCCTGGCTGCTGTGGCTCCCCTCAAGCCGCCTGTGCTGCCCTCCATCCCACTTCTCCTCTAGGGCAGAGCCATGGCCTGGCACACAAGAAGCTGGTGGCAGGAAGAAGTGAGAGAAGTGTGGCCTCCAAATTATTGGTCCATTACTCCTCACTGCTGGTGGTGCAGCTGTCCTGGGGCCAGCAGCAACAAGTCTTGCCACCTAGCTCCACCCTCCCCCACAAGGTCCCAACTGCTGGGCCATGGATGCAGCTTCTGCCTGTGCCAGTCCGGCCAATGTGCAGCCCTGTGCCCTGAGCACAAATCTGGGGGTGTGTGATCCCCCAAACCTCCTTGCTCTATCTATGTATCCCCCCACCATAGACTTACCTGTGGGGAGCTGCAGGAGCTGCTCTCTACCATGTAGCCTAGCTGCCATGTGCATGTGTGCACATACACATGCATGTGGTGCCTTCTGCCCGTGATTGCGCTCCTACCGCTTCCCCCCCCTGGAACTCTGCCAGCTTGCAAGGGGAAACCCATGGTGTCCTACATTTTTCTCCTTTAAAAGAGAAAATCCGTATTTTTTCATGGAAAATGGAAAACCCAAATCCCTGCTTCTGAGGAAAGGCTGAACTAGGATTATGTAGTCTGAAGTAGAGAAGGCAGGTGGATGGGGAAGTGACAACAGTTTCAAATACCTGAAGAGTATACCATCTTCAGAAAGGGAGGAAAGAGGACTTGGGGAACTATAGGCCAGTTAGTCCTACCTCGATCCTGGGTAAGCTTTTTGAGAGAATTATTTTGGCACATGTCCATGAGGGGCCAGCAGGGGAGGTTAAGCTTAGGGGCAACCAACACGGGTTCATTACAGGCAGGTCCTGTCAGACCAACCTGGTGGCCTTCTACGACCAGTTCACCAAATCTTTAGATGCAGGGGTAGCAGTGGATGTAGTCTTTCTGGACTTTCGGAAGGTCTTCGACACTGTGTCTCACTCTATTCTCATTAAGTGGACAGGTCATTTTCGAACTGGAGGGAAGTGGGCAGTGGGATCCCCCAGGGCTCGGTCCTCGGGCCCGCACTGTTCAACACCTTCATCAGTGACTTGGATGAGGGGGTAAAAAGCACCCTGTTCAAATTTGCTGATGACACTAAGATGTGGGGGGATGTGGGCACACTAGAAGGGAGAAATAGGCTACAATCGGACCTAGACAGGTTACAGGGGTGGGCGGAGGAGAACAGGATGGGATTCAACACTGACAAGTACAAGGTGATAGACCTGGGGAGGAAGAACCAGCAGCATACCTACAAGCTGGGGAACTCCCTTCTCATCAGTGCAGAGGCAGAAAAGGATCTTGGAGTCATCACTGATGCCAAGAT